GGACTGCTTGTGCCACCCCTTCCCCCAACCCAGACAGCACAGCTTGCAGCTCTGGGACAGACTCCTTTCTTCTGCTTGAAGACAGTAGAGGGAAGAGTAGAGGACTTTGTTTTGCATCTTGAATATCAGCTCAGCCACAGCAGGACAGGGTACCGGCTAAGTCTAGCTCCTAGATGACATTTCTAGACACACCCTAGGCCAGAAGGGAGCTCACTGGCTTAAAGAAAAGAACATAGTTCTGGTGGGATTCATCCTCTGCTAACTAAGGAGCCATTGGTTCCTGAATAATTAGCAGCAGCAACAAGGCAGTACTTGCCGTGGTCCTTAGGTGAGACTCAGAGATGTGCTGGCTTCAAGTGTGACCCGGCACATTCCAAGCCATGGTGGCTACAGAGAGGGACTCCTTCTGTTTGAGAAAAGAGGGAAGAGTACAGGGGACTTTGTCTTGCAGCTTAGTTACCAGCTGGACCCTGGTTGGGTAGACCACCAAGCAGGTTCTTGGAACCCCCACCCAGGCCTTGGCTCTTGGGTGGCATCTCTGGACCTGCCCTGGGCCACACGGGAGCCAGCTGCCCTGAAGGGAGAGTCCTAGGACTGGCAGCATTCACCACAAGCTGACTGAAGAGCCCCTGGACCCCAAGTGAACATTGCGGGTAGCCAGACAGTGCCTGTCATGAGCTTAGGGCAGTGGTGGCCATGGGGAGAGACTCCTCTGCTCAGGGAAAGGGGAGGGAAGAGTGGGAAGGGCTCTGTCTTGTGATTTGGATGCCAGCTTAGCTGTAGTAGAATAGGGCATCAGGTAGGTTCTTAAGGTTTCCAACTCCAGGCTCTGGCTCCCTGATGGCATCTCTGCACCCAGCCAGGGCAGGGGTAAACTCACTGCCATGAAAGGAGGAACACAGCCCGGATGGCTTTGCCACCTGCTTACTGTAGAGCCCTCGGGCCTTGAACAACACAGGCAATAACTGGGTAGTGGTTACCATGAGCCCTGAGGGAAACCCAGTGCTGTGATGTCTTCAAGTCTGATCCAGGACAGTCCCAGTGGTGGTGGCACAGGGGTGCTTGTGTCACCCCTTCCCCAGCTCCAGACAGCTCCGCCCAGAAACAAAGAGTCTCCATTTGCTTGGGAGAAAGTAAGGAAAGAAAAAGAAGTCTCTGCCTGGTAATCCAGAGAATTCCCCAGGATCTTATCCAAGACCACCACAGTGGTACCACTATGAGTCTAGAAAAGTCCAAGACTTGTCTGGGCAACATAAGAAGTCCTCATCTCTACAGAAAAATTTTAACAATTAGCCAGGCATGGTGGCACAAGCCTAGAGTCCCAGCTACTGGAGAGGCTGGGGCAGAAGGATTGCTTGAGCCCAGGAGTTTGAGCTGCAAGTGAGCTACAATCATGCCACTGCACTCCAGCCTGGGTGACAGAGAGAGAATCTCTCTTAAAAAAAAAAAAAAAAAAGTCAGTTCCCTTCAGATGCATGCCATCCAGCTTTAATATTATACTTTCTCTCTCTTTGTTGTTCATTAAGTCTTGCTCTCCAAGTCATTTTGCCTTATCCCAAGAAACTTCAACAATCACAGAGACAATCATACAGTATCCTGCCTCTGAGTTCACTGATGCCATCTCTAAAGACTTCCTCCTCCACTCCACGTGGGTCATCTACTTCCTCAGTTTTCTATCTTGTTATCAAAACTAACCCAATTATGAAATTACTAATTCAGACACCCCACTCTCCTATTTTTCAAGATAACTATTCAACTACTCTACTATGACTACTCTGCTTCACTGATCACCAATCCATTGAGCTGTCTTGGTTTTCCATCAGCCTCATCTGGTTTTCAAGATTTTAAACATGCTCTAATAACCTGACTCCCTCTTGCCCCATTGTTCTACAAGTAGCCTGTTTAGAGCCCAAGTCCCAAACAGCATATCTTTTAGCAACACTAAAGGATAAAACCTGAGAAAGAGTAATTTTTTTTTTTTTTTTTTTTTTTTTTTGAGAGAGAGAGTCTTGCTCTGTTACCCAGGCTGGAGTATAAGGGCATGATCAGAGCTCACTGCAACCTCAATTGCTGGGGCTCAATTGATCCTGCCACCTCAGCCTCCTCAGTAGCTGAGACCACAGGTGTGCATCATCGTATCTGGATAATTTTTAAAAATTTTTTTACAGAGGCGAGGGCTCACTATGTTGCCCAGGCTGGTATTGAACTCCTGGGCTCAAGCAATCCTCCTGCCGTGGCCTCTCAAAGTGCTGGGATTATAGGTGTGAACCATCATACCAAGCCGAAAGAGTAAGGATAACAAAGGTGGCCGGGTGCAGTGGCTCACGCCTGTAATCCCAGCACTTTGGGAGGCCGAGGCGGGTGGATCACGAGGTCAAGGGATCGAGACCATCCTGGTCAACATGGTGAAACCCCGTCTCTACTAAAAATACAAAAAATTAGCTGGGCATGGTGGTACGTGCCTGTAATCCCAGCTACTCAGGAGGCTGAGGCAGGAGAATTGCCTGAACCCAGGAGGCGGAGGTTGCGGTGAGCCGAGATCACGCCATTGCACTCCAGCCTGGGTAACATGAGTGAAACTCCGTCTCAAAAAAAAAAAAAAAAAAAGGATAACAAAGGCAGCAAGATACCAGTAGAAAAATAGGCAAACGTTGAGCTGGGCTCAGCAGCACATGCCTGTAATCACTGCTACTTGTGAGTCTGAGGGAGGAGGAATGCTTGAGCGCAGGAGCTCAAGGCAAGCCTGGGCAAGACAGCATGACCCCATTTCAAAATAGAAAAAAAAGGCAAAAATCACAAGCAGATGCGTCACAAGAGGAAATACCAATTGCTTCATATAAATCTGTGTCCAACCTCACTAATAATCCAAGATGTCAAAATTGATACTATTCTTCATCTATCAAAATGTGTAAATTAAAAAACTTAACAGGCAAGGCCAGCAAGGGACCAATGAATCTACCATTCTTAGGAACTGCTCATAGCTGCATAAATCACTGCATTTCTGAAAGTCAATGTGGCAATATCTTTTAAGATTCTTTAAAATGTGTTTTACAGAAAGCTAGATTTTTTAAAAGTATAAAAATCACAGAGGAAAATGTTTACCACAACGCTGAAAACAATATAAACATAAAACATGTGGAGAATGGTTCCATATATTGCATAACAACATGTCACACTACACACTCAGAATCTGAACTCAGAAACAAAATAAATTTAAATAAAACTGTCTCCATTCCAAATCCAGGGACTAGTTCTGGTCCTGAACCAAATGGCGTAGGTTCACATTTCCTTGTTCCTCCCCTTTAAGTATATCTAAAATTCCCAGAAATAATCTAACAGACAATCATAAAAGAACTCTGAAAGGCAAAAAGAGGAAGGCAGGGTGGCTAGGGGCCTCAGGACTTGAAGAACAACACGACATTACATTTCCCAAGTTTTTCAGCATCATACGAAAGATTAAAAAAAAGTTTCCTGAGCATTCCTTTAATCTGCTATAACTCAGACTGGGCACTAGAGAGCCCGAAAACCCAGAACTATTAACAGACTTAGATCCAAAAGGGCCCCCAAGCCTGCCTAAAGAAGCAGAAAATGGACAGCCTGGGGGAAATCTAGCAGGTGGTCCCATCCCTGACTCCATACCTGGAGTTGCAGGAGGGCCCACCATGACGGAATGAGCAATGCCAATAAAGATCAGGCAGGGGAACTTCATCTCCTGCCCCATATGCAGCACAGCAGGTAGGCCCACATTACCCACATCAGCAGCACCAGTCGGCACAGCTGGCATCTCTTAGCCTTCCACCCAGCAGCAAAGAACTATGCAGGTCCAGTGTTTCCCAACTTCCCACCCAGGAGCAAAGAGTGGCCCAAGGCAAGAGCCTTCCTTCCACCCCCACAGGCAATATCAACAGTGACTGAATGGAAGCCCCCCTGGCACCAGGTAGGAGTCCACATGGTGGGGCTAGGAGAATGCTCACAGACCCATGAGTCCTAAGCCCACCATCTACCATGCATTCTCCACTTGGCAGCAACCAGCCCAGAAAAATCCACTCCACTCTCACAGGTGGCATAATCAAGGATTGAATGGGAGTCCCAACAATGCCAGGAGAAAAAAAATTCAGACTAGAAAAGCACGGCAAGAGCTCTAAAAATCAAATCATCATTGAAACCACAGATTTCAGTAGTATGCCAGGACCTATATACAAAACCTAAACAGGGCAATTACCCACTAAGATAAATCATTTAGATAGGATCATGAAACATTAAAACATTCTTATTTATTAAAAAAGAAAAGGAAGGGCTTGGCACAGTGGCTTATGCCTGTAATCCCAGCACTTTAGAAGGTCATGGGAGGAAGATCACTTTGAGACCAGGAGTTAAGAACAGCCTGGACAACATAGTGAGACCCCATCTCTATAAAAATTAAAAATTAGCCAAAGTGGTGGAGCACACCTGTAGTCCTAGCTACTGGGGAAGCTGAGGTGCGAGGATCACTTGAGCCTAGGAGTTTGAGGTTGCAGTGAGCTATGATCATGGCACTCCAGTCTGGGTGACAAAGAGAGACCATGTCTCAAAAAAAAAAAATAAATAAAATGGAAAAAAGGCTGTAATTTTTAAAATGTTATTTTACAAAAGGCTTTTAAGAATTTAGGGAAATACTGAAGGTATAACGTAAAATTTTTAAAGCAACAGACAAACTTACAAATACAGTATTGCTTTAGATATTTTTTAAGCATATAAAAGAAAATGGAAAGCAATATTCCAAAATGTTATCAGTCATTATGCCTCTTGGTAAGAAATTATGAATTTTTCCTGTTTTTATATTTTTCAATTTTCCTAAAGTACTTGTCTAATGTTTACTAGCTGTATAATTAAAATTTTAACCACAGGGTACTAAAACTAGTATACAAAGAGCTGTGATAACACGCAGATCATGATTCTGTAAAAGAGTGGGAGTGACCTTAATGAGATGATATAACACAAGTTTGTTGTCTTTTACATACCTGTGGATCTGTCCATTTTTATGCAGATATTCCAGCCCTTCCAGTACTTCTCGTAGTATAGTAGCAATGGTAGATTCATCCAGGACTCCACTTTTGTGTTCCCCTTTTGCCACAATGTGCTTAATAATATCCAGAACAGAACCTGAAAACAGAAGACACAATTTTCTAAAAATCTCTAAATCATTCAATATAATTCAGATCCATTTTAGAATCAAAACACATATGAACCTTCTCATAAATTAATTGCATAGGAATGGAAAAAAAAAAAAAAAAACAGCAAATATGAGGAAATACAGAATTTTTAAATGAGTAGCTTATTTTCAGCCAGGCATGGTGGCTCACGCCTGTAATCCCAGCACTTTGGGAGGCCAAGGTGGGCAGATCACGAGGTCAAGAGATCAAGATCATCCTGGCCAACATGGTGAAACCCTGTCCCACTAAAAATACAAAAATTAGCCGGGTGTGGTGGTGTGTGCCTGTAGTCCCAGCAACTCAGAAGGCTGAGGCAGGAGAACTGCTTGCACCTGGGAGGCAGAGGTCGCAGTGAGCTGAGATTGCGCCATTGCACTCCAACCTGGTGACAGAAGTCCAATCGAAAACAAAAAGTAGCCTACTAATATTCAAATAGAATGTTATGCTAGCCTCTCCTTTGGACATCTAGTGAGAATCTGAAGAGGTGGTAGAGGATATTTAACTCACCCTAAATAATGCCTAGGTAAGCCATGCTCATCAGTAATACTGTAAGATACCACAAACCAATGTAGGCTTTTAACACCAGATTAGAATATGCACTGCTGTATGACTAAAGATATAAAAATACAATTGAAATGTCAATCAAATCAGGAATGGAATACTTGGATCACATATATATATACACAAACTAACTTAGGACCAAAATTATTTTTTAGGTTAATTATAGAACTAAAATAGGCAAGGAAAAGACAAATACAAAAAGAATAAAAATTACAGTTCTTTTTGAGTAACACCCCAGATGTATTATCAATCCTAAACTTCCCAGAATAGGAAATAATGCTCCTAGTAAAGGTTGAAGGCGGGGAGGAAAAGACACCTATATAGTAATTAAAAGCACAACGCTGCCTGCCAAAACTGAAAATCATAATCAGTAAAAAGTTTGGTGGAAATTCATAAGATTTCTGGCAGTATAATGGCCCATAACAATCACAGAACCAAAACAAAACAATTTCCAATATTAGCAACTGTGCCAAGAGGTCTAGAACATTACATAGACTGCACTGAAAAGATTCAATACTCATTTCTTGGTACAAGACTTCAGTGATCAAGACTAAAATCAAAACAACCGCTTACATAGTTCTCTTGAAAACTTGCCCTACTGGGTACTTTTACTTCATACTCTTAACAAGAAAAAATATACTTCCCAATACACAGAAAGAAACAGAATTCTCAAAAACATGAGGGATTGAACACGTTTATTTCAGCTCCCACTTAAAATCCACTAACTTGGTAAACTTGATTAAAAAGACATAAACCCACAATTTAAAAAGAGGACCAGAAAGATGACAAAAGACAGATGGCAACAATATTCTAGAAGATAGAAGAAAAAGAAAAAGTAATCAAGCACAGCGGAGAAATCTGAACTTCAGTGCTTGCAGAGGAGCTATGCCATTTAGGACAAAGTGATCCCTACCCAGAGCTCCAGGAAGGCTCAAAAACACACACAGCAAGTACCATATGTGAGGGAGGAGTGGAGGACAGGGTTGAAAACAGGAAAACTGGTTGAAAGTTCAGATAAGAGAGAATAAGATTCTCAGATCCCTCTTCCTCCCGGAGACGTGCCCTTTAGTACTCTCCACCTCCAATAGGAGATAGGCAGTTTAGTCTCTGTGCACCAGAGAGGCTCACTCTTCAGAAAGCTCTCAGACAGGTTTCCCAACACATTACTACACTGGTTCTTTCCCCTCTCCATTGCTGGGATTCACAAGTTTGTGATCCAAAAGTGGAGAGACCTAAGGAAGAAGTTTGTTCTGCTTAGTTTAATCAACGACACGTGAATCCTCGAAGCAAAATGATTATACCAAAGGCCCACATGTTCCACTGTTCAAGAAATCCAGGCCACATAAGTACTTCAGTAAGAAAACAATTATGTTAATTAACACTGATCAAGTTCCATGTTTGTAATGTAATACCTAAAATAAGGAATGCAAAGGAAAACCAATTCCTACTGGAAATGAAAAATTATCACAACTCATTCATTCAACAATTAAGCCCTATTACATTACATGTGAGATCTAAGACTGGGTGCCCCCAAATATGACAAGCTATATATGACATGATTGCTGACTTTAAGGGAACTTCCAGTCTGATAGATCAAACAAATGCAGCATCAAAGATCTTGGGGCACCTAAAAAGTGACTGTATCTGTAAAGAGTTTGAAGTAGGAGCTCCTTTTCAAACTTTCAGATTTTTACTGACTTCACACCGTCCAATGATCAATGAGGAGATTGATGCAATGCTCATCTCTAGCCTATATGTCCAGAACAGACATTTTGAACAAAGCCTATATATGAAACCCTTCTGATCTGGCTAACAATTTCAGTTTCAAACTCCTCCCAACAATATTATTATTATAGGTGGAGGAATCATCATGTGACCAAGACCTTCATCCTTAACTGAGAGACACTGGTCCTGTAAGGTACCCCCCTGCCACTTATCCATTTAGTTTTTTAAGCCTCTGGTAGCCTCTAACTCGATGACAGTGTTTATAATCCTCCATCCTCAAACATCAAAATTATAAAGAATTCTTCACGTCAACTAAGAGAAAGGTGAAGAGAAAATATGCTAAGCAAAAGGAGGCAGCAGATTATCACTGAGTGATTCAATTAACACCTAAGGTAGGAATAATGAGGGAAAGCTATAACTGTGTATGTAGTATTTTGTCCTCATGCCTAATTCGTAAGAAATAGTATATAGGAATAATCTGTTCTCAAACTTTAACGTGTGAAGGAATTACTTGGCAAATTAGTAAAAATGCACATTCCCAGGCCATGTACAGTCATTCAAGAGAACTGAGGTAGGGCCCAAGAAGCTGCATTTCAAAAGGCATTTAACAACTTACAGACTGCTTTAATGAAAGCTGTCCATTAAAATCCAAACATTTTTCAAAGTAAAATTAAATCAATCAAATAATGGGAAACAAGGGTATTTTTGTTTGGATACAAACAAAATTTTGTAACAAAGCAAAAAGTTTAAATGTAGATCATCTATTCCCAAAAAAGAATCCCCATCAGACTTCATGGCCTGTGGCATGGAACATGTTTAAAGCAATGCAAAAATTTAATTGTCCAACAAAATAATGACAGAATATGAAAATAATATTTGACAAAGTAGTGAAGTAGCTGCTGGCTTCAGACACTTGTTAAGTCTGAAAATTAGAGCTCAATCAAATTACCCCATCAACAAGTTAATTTCCTCAGTTTACTTGTATAAGAAGCTACTCTTTAAATATAAAATCAACTCATTCAACTTAGTTACTGGTATCTCTGCTAACAAGTTTTTTGTTTTGAGACGGAGTCTCACTCTGTCACCCAGGCTGGAATACAGTGGCAAAATCTTGGCTCACAGCAACCTCCACCTCCTGGGTTCAAGCAGTTCTCCTGATTCAATCTCCTAAGTAGCTGGAACTACAGGCATGCACCACCATGGCTGGCTAAGTTTTCTACTTTTGGTAGAGACAGGGTTTCACCATGTTGGTCAGGCTGGTCTCGAACTGCTGACCTCATGATCCACCCACCTCGGCATCCGAAAGTGCTGTGATTACAGGTGTGAGCCACCGCACCCAGCAAGAAGTTTTAATCAATCTTTAGCTACTACTAGTAGTAAAAGACTTGACTGCTTATGTCTTCCTAAGCCTCAGAAGATTTCAAAGGGGCCACAATTTGCTTGGTCTGAGTATTCCATTTTAGACCAAAAGATGTTACAGAAATAACACCCTGAATTGTTACTTGAACATCCAAAGCTGGTCCCCACTAATATGAGACATTTTACCTGGGTCCTGCTTTAGATCAAGGAAGTCCCCGTGTTTTTTATCTCTTAGAAAAAGACAAAGTTAGGCCAGGTGCGATGGCTAACGCCTGTAATCCTAGCACTTTGGGAGGCTGAGGTGGGTGGATCACCTGAGGTCAGGAGTTCAAGACCAGCCTGGCCATCAGGGTGAAACCCCATCTTTAAAAAAAGAAAAGAAAAGAAAAGTAAAAGACAAAGTTGAGGGCATGCTTAAACAACTATCTAAGACAGTGAATTTACATTAGATTTCTGCATTTCTACACTTACTCCCTTTAAGTACTACAGGTACCTCCTTTTTCACCTCAGAAGTTTTTTTTTAATTACTTTGATTTCTAAAAAGCTTACATTTGTAGTTTGGTGCTAATAAACTGTGGAAATAACTATTTATACCAAAAGTGCTTCTAACTTCTGAAGCTTAACTTCCTGTAGTAATAAATCCCAACATTCAATATGAGAGTTTTAATTAGAAAAGATAGGAATATTACAGTTATAAGGAAGCATCATAAATTGATTATAATATTGACACAATTAATTAATTATAATATTAACCAGGATGTACACTTGGTTGGTGGGCTTAAGAGTGACTCATTAGGCCGGGCGCGGTGGCTCACGCCTGTAATCCCAGCACTTTAGGAGGCCGAGGCAGGTGGATCACGAGGTCAAGAGATCGAGACCATCCTGGTCAACATGGTGAAACCCCGTCTCTACTAAAAATACAAAAATTCAGCTGCGCATGGTGGCGCGTGCCTGTAATCCCAGCTACTCAGGAGGCTGAGGCAGGAGAATTGCCTGAACTCAGGGGGCGGAGGTTGCGGTGAGCCGAGATCGCGCCATTGCACTACAGCCTGGGTAACAAGAGCGAAACTCCGTCTCAAAAAAAAAAAAAAAAAAAAAAAAAAAAAAAGAGTGACTCATTATTCATTTTATGAATTAGTTTATTAAATTCTACATCAGTACAATGTTCCTAAATCAAAACTATGCTTTTGTTTTCAATATTCTGACTAAAAACATTGATGTGAAAGAAGGCACCCTGTACATATTTCTGTCAACTCTGGTTATTTATATTTTTTAATTTTGGGAGTCTCTGCTTTTCAGTAAGCCTCTTCCGAGAGTCCTCGTCTCTCATTCTCTCTGCTCCAGCTATGAATCTGTCAGTTCTCAAGACACACACGCTGCATCCTGTCTCCATCCCCTTTTTCACAATATTCTAGCTGGACCACATTTCCCATCCTTCCCGAGTACTAACTCCAGCCCCCATTTCACCTGGCTAATTATTAGTTATTCTTTTTTATTTTAAAATTTTTTTTAGAGACAGAGTCTCAGTCTGTTGTCCTGCTAGACTGTGGTGGCAGGATCACGGCTTGCCTCAACCTCGAACTCCTGGCCTCAAGCTCTCCTCCAGCCTCCCAAGTAGCTAGGACGACTAGTCCAAGCTTAGCAAGTTGTTTTATTTTTGGTCCAGACAGGGTCTTTCCATGTTGTCCAGGCTGGGCTGTTGAACTCTTGGCCTAAAGCAGTCTTTCTGCCTCAACCTCCCAAAGCACTGGGATAGCAGGCATGAGCCACCTCACCCGGCCAATTTTTACCCTATTTGTTAGCTCTCAGCTGGACGTCACCTCCTGAAGATAAGTCTTTGTTAATCTCACTGCAACTGTTCTCCCTCAAGGTTAAGTTCTCCTGGAACTTGTTCCCATAGCCTACGAGAGCAAGGAACTGAAAACTTTATTCACCAGTGTACTAGAGATCAGTAAGTATTTGATGAATGGCATTTTAATTAAGCTACAATCCTGACACATCTTCCTCCTGTTTAAAAAAAAAAAAAAAAAAAATTTGGCTGGGCGTGGTGGCTCATGACTGTAATCCAAACACTTTGGAGGCCAAGGTGGGCAGATGACTTGAGGTCGAGAGTTCAAGACCAGCCTGACCAACATCGTGAAACCCCATCTTTATAAAAAAAAAAAAAAAAAAAATTAAGCTGTGCTTAGTTCTAACTTTTGTTTTCTTTTTTTTTTTTTTTTTTTTTTTTTTTGAGACGGAGTTTCGCTCTTGTTACCCAGGCTGGAGTGCAATGGCGCGATCTCGGCTCACCGCAACCTCCGCCTCCCGGGTTCAGGCAATTCTCCTGCCTCAGCCTCCTGAGTAGCTGGGATTACAGGCATGTGCCACCATGCCCAGCTAATTTTTTGTATTTTTGGTAGAGACGGGGTTTCACCATGTTGACCAGGATGGTCTCGATCTCTTGACCTCATGATCCACCCGCCTCGGCCTCCCAAAGTGCTGGGATTACAGGCTTGAGCCACCGCGCCCGGCCTAACTTTTGTTTTCTAAATGTTGCCTAATGTATCAACTCAGTTTAAATGTTTATTCATTTTATAACAAAAAAAGCAAGATTTCATTTTCCTAAAACAAATGCAAAATTTTTAATATTTAAAAAGTTTAGGCTGGGCACTGCAGCTCAAGAGGCTGAGGACCATCCTGGCTAACATGATGAAACCCCATCTCTACTAAAAATACAAAAAAATCAGCCGGGCATGGTGGCACACGCCTGTAGTACAAGCTACTTGGTAGGTTGAGGCAGGAGAATCACATAAACTCAGGATGCAGAGGTTGCAATGAGCTGAGATCATGCCACTGCACTCCAGCCTGGGCGACACAGCGAAATTCCATCTCAAAAAATAAAATAAAATAAAAAGTTTAGATATAATGATCATGTTGACTCATAAAAATATAAGCACTTATAAAAAGGGTTATGAATAAATGGAACATGTTTGAAAATTATCCTCCAAGAAATCTGCCAAGTGCTAGTCTTGAAAAATTGGGTAATGTCCCAGAAAACTTAAGACCAGACCAAAAGGGACAAAGAGCCACATTTAAAAGACATCCCACCCATTTACATGTCCTACCCCTTCCACGATCAAGACATATACTCACTGAGAGAGGAACAGGAATTCTAAAAAAAAAAAAAAAAAAAAAAAAAAAGCCATTCTTCTTAGGAGTAGCAGAAAGAATGATGGGCTAGCATACAGGTACAGACAGGAGAATTAAGCAATTTATTCCCATTCATCAGAGGACTTTTTTGCAAAACATTAAAACCTTTGTATTACATATTCTTATAAATTACAAATAAAAAAATTATGTTATAGGCGATCAATAATGAAAGATACAGTATTACCTAATACTCCCATATCTCTCCATACAGAAAGAACCACGCTTGACCACCATCTTGAAAGGTGGTTGGTGTTAGCAAGGCTTCCAACCATCATATGAACAGGGCCTTTAACAAAGCAATCCAGTTTCTCCAGTGTGTCACTAATGGGATTGAAATAAAAAGGTGATTCTGGCTACACTGAAAAGCATCAAATAGCAAGGGATTATTACTATTAATGACTAAAATTTATTGTGCACCTATTACATGTCAGCACAGTGGTGGACGATTTACATATATCATCTCATTTGCTCCTCATCAATTCTCTGAAATGCAGAAAGGTATCCCCATTTAACAGATAAGTAAAAAGGTTCAAAGAGATGAAAGAGTTTTCCCAATGACATACGAGTGCTAAGTAGAAACACCGAAATTTAACTCTAAAGTCTATGCTGTTTATAGTCTCTCTGGGGAAGTATAGTGTTCAGTGAGATATAGCAATAAAATTGCAAACTAAACAAACATGGATTCTCTTTTCTGTAACTCTACATTTTAGGATGGAAAATAATACTCCCCCACAAAATACACATGCAAGCCAAAACCAAGCAGCACAGTGACAGGAAGGCCAGTGTGGCTCCATCACTCACTAGTCCTACCAGTCTTGCTGCCATGTGATTCAAATCCATGCCTTGGTAAAATGACTAATTTACCAAATGGCATGGGGCTTTCGGGTAATCATAACAAAATGTTCAATCTATACGTGCCACGGTTTCACAGTTTACAATCAGCAATATTTATATTTTATTGTAAGAATACAGCAGAAATAACTATATATATATTACAAGATAAAGCACTTCAGTAATTATCTTAATATTGGGTATCATGATTTTCTGTGTAAAGGAAAAGAGATTCAAGTATAATATTAAAGAAGTTTAAAAAGTCAAGGACATTAAACTTGTATTGGAAATATTAATGTCAAATTATGATTTATTTTTAACCTACTATATTTCCAAGCTCTAGAAGCAATGACACTAGAGTGGTAATGAGCACTCCAAGCATCCAAGTTATGCTTTCTTCTAAGTACATTCCCGAGTAAAAAATATCAAAGCTCATTAGAATATTGGCTGATTCAGGGTCTGGGAAAATGAATAAAAATATAACCCTAGGGAATCCTGAATTAAAATGTAAGGATATAATGAAAGACTGATGGGTTCATATCAAGAGGACGCAAGAGTGACTTTGAAAGGGCTCCCACTGACAAATTTTGGACAACTTGCATATCAGAAAGAATAGAGTATAACTGATGGAAAGACACTGAATACATAAAAATCCTTGGGCCTTTAATAATACTCCAAAAAGTGCAGGTCCTACCCAACTGGAAAAAGGGAAATTTTTAAACCCTCTCAGTTCCTACCATTGCAGATGATTACTAGACCAAATTTTTACTCCAAAACTTGGTACTTAAAAAAAAAAATCAATTATTTATCTCGCCTTTTCAGTAGGAACTAGAGTACAGATTAATCAGTGTCCCAGTTGATAAGGAAAAGTTCTACACAGAAGGATGCCAGCTTACAAATATAAAAGAAATGATGCTGTAAGAAAAATCACCATTTTACAACCCCTGATTCAAACAAGGATTCAAACAATGAAGGTGAAAATCATTAGACAAAAGACTTATGGAGAACTGGACACTCTTTAGATACTCACAAAGTATCATCTCACAGATTACTTGCCAGCTACAGAAGGGAAAATGTTACCTTTTCCATGGAGAGGCCTGGTTGTCCTAATCTTAAGCAAACAAAACTAACATCACTATTAAAAAGACAACCAGATAGCGATTTCCTGACATAATGCACTATGAAGTACACAGCAACACCCAGAAGTACCCTCCCCCCAAAATATTTAACTTGAATTTATTCAAGCCTTTAGATCTAATTTTCAATATGCAAGAAAAAGAGGAATACAGATCAAGCTAAATGCCGCCAAGAAGAAATAAGCAGATAAATCCAGAAGATGGCACACTCTACACGGTAACCGGACTAGACTCTTCAATAAGTTTACATCATGGAAGGGAGGAGGCAAGAAGGAAGCATCCTAAATTAAGAGAGACTTCGACCAGGCACAGTGAGTGGTTCACACCTGTAATCCCAGCACTTTGGGAGACCAAGGTGGACGGATCGCTTGAAGACAAGAATTGGAGATGAGCCTAGGCAACATAGTGAGACCCCGTTTCCAAAAAAAATTTATGTTAAATAACAAAATTAGTTGAGCACGGTGGTACACGCCTGTAGTCTCAGCTACTTGTGAAGCTGAGACAGGAGGATCACTTGAGCCCGGGAGTTCGAGGCTGCAGTGAGCCATGATTGTACCACTGCACTCCAGCCTGGGTGACGGAGCCAGTCTGCCTCTAAAAAAAAAAAATTGAGAGATTTAAGCAGCATGACAACGAAATGAACCAAATGCAAGGTATGAAGCCTGTCTTGGCTCACAGATTAGCATCTTCAGCAAATACTATATTTTCAGTACCTCCTCAAATGCAAATGGCCATGAAAACAAAATCAGGATAAAAAAGAAGGAAATTTTATTAACTTTTTAAACCATGGTACTTATAACATTTCCTTGTACTTTACTCACCTCCACTTAGCAGTTTCATGACAAGCCACAGCTCATCTTTTACCACAAAAGACGTGTAGTAAGATACAATATTAGGATGATGGCATTGACTCATGGCTTGAATTTCTTTCTACAAAGAAGAGAAAACATGATATTTCATTATATGCAAGCCTAAAACAAATGTTCTGAGTTAGCAAATCCAGATTTTGAAATCTCAAGACTTTGTCACACCATTCTGGGATGTCCATAGCTCTGATTTCTTCAAGAATAGATAAACCAATAAAACCACCTTGTCTCCCTCAGTCCATTCTGACTCAACTTCTTCCTCCACTCATTATACTAGTAATCTTTCAAACTAGAAACACACTATTTAACACATCCTGGCACAACGCTCCAGGAGGCCTCCTTTGGGACATGTATTTTTGCTTCAAGGTGCCCTTGAAGAACCATCTTGGGAAATCTGGTTATATAGGTACAAAGGATATTAACTAACAAACAGGGTTTTTTTAATTATTATTATTTGTGTAGGGTTTTTTTTTTTTGCAACAATATTACTTCATTCCATTTTTGTGAAATGATTAATAATTCTCACACTAAAGAGAAACTGAAACAGGACAACATCAAAAACTAAATCCAGAGCAGAAATCTGAGCCAAAAGTTTAAGCTTACTCTATCTCAGCTTATGATTTTAAATTAGATTTGGTATGACAAAATGCCTTATAAATCCCTGTGTGATCAGGGCCCTGTTTACCTCTTTGGTCTCATTCCTGTGCCCCTTCACAGCCCAGTACCTGATCCAGCCACAGAAAACTGCAAGTGAGTCATGCTTCTTTTAACTATGGACATTTAACCCTATTATGCCTCAGCCTCAAATACACTTCCCCCATCATCACTGCCCAGCTAACTCCAACTCTTCCTCTGATCTCAGTCTAGACAGAATTTCCTCCCAGCTTCCCAGCTTTAGTTAGATGCTCCTTCTCAGCTTCCAAGTACCCTGTATATCTCCTCCCATCATGGTACACAAAATACTGGATAGCACACTGTGTGCTTATTTGTCTGTCTCTCCCTGCTAGGCTGACAGCTCCATAAAGGCAAGTACTTAAAAGTAGATTCTTAATCACTATGGAATTCATCTGACTATACTATAACTGCCCATTTGTTTACACATCCCCCACAAAACTGCAAGCTCAGTGATAACTCTAAAACAGTTCTTAGCATATATCATTGTGCCTGGCACATAGTACACCTTCAATAAATATTTGCTGAATGAATGAAATACTGCAGCACTTTATATGGCTTTTCACTTATTAATGTACCTGCCCTATGCCCTTGGTATTTGTTCAGTAAGATCAATTGCGTGAAAGTCATCCATAATCCCTGATTCGTAAGGAATGCTCAATAAATGCTAACTTTCCATTTTTCACCTTCTTTACTTGAATGTAACTTCCTTTATGGCAAGGATCTTGTCATACACATCTTGCAACCCTGAAATCACCAGCACAGCCTTCTGTACTAAAAGCTAAGTAAATATGAAAGAAAAGGAAAAAAGGATCTGGCTCTGTCACTCAGGCTGGAAGCATAGTGGCACAACATCTCGACTCACTGCAATCTCCACCTCTCAGGCTCATGCCCATCCTCCCATCTCAACCTCCCAAGCATCTGGGACTACAGGCATGCAACACCACACCTAGCTCTGTGCGTGTGTGTGTGTGTGTGTGTGTGTGTGTGTGTATTTTTTGTAGAAACAAGGTTTTGCCATGTGGCCATGTGGCCCAGGCTGGTCTCAAACTCCTCCTGCCTTGAAATCACAAACTGCTAGGTCTATAGGCATGAGCCACCACACCTGGCCTCATGTTAAATTTTTTAATGTTTGCAGCACATTAGTATTAGAAATGTGTTCACACACTTGAAAGGATTTTTAAATAACAGCTTTATTTTTGAGATGGGGTCTCTCTCTGTCACTCAGGCTGGAGTACAGTGGTGTGATCATGGCCCACTGCAGCCTCAACCTCCCAGGTTCAAGTGATCCTCCCACCTCAGGCTCCAGACTAGATGGGACTACAGATGTGTGCCACCATACCTGGCTTTTTTTTCTTTTTTTTAATGAGACAGGGTCTTGCTTTTTAAACCAGGCTGGAGTGTAGTGGTGTGACCCAGCTAACTGCAGCCTCAACCTCCTGGGCTCAACCTCCCAGGCTCCTAACTCAGCCTCCCAAGTAGCTGGGGCTACAGATGTGTGCCACAATACCCGGCTAAATTTTGTATTTTTGTAGAGCTGGAGTCCTATGTTGCCCAGGCTGGTCTTGAACTCTTGGGCTCAAGCAATCCACCCAACTTGGCCTCCCAAATGCTGGGATTACAGGCGTGAGCCCTAGTCCCTGGCCTGGCTAATTTTTTTATTTTTCACAGACAGAGTCTCACTATGTTGCCCATGCTGGTCTCAAACTCCTGGACTCAAGCAGTCCTCCTACCTTGGCCTCCCAATGTGCTAGGATTACAGGTGTGAGCCATTATTTCTGACCTATAACAGCTTTATTGTGATATAATTCACACACCATAAAATTTACTCTTTTAAAGTGTCCAATTTAGTGTGCTCAGAGAGTTGTACAACTATCACCAATTAATTCCAGAACGTTTCATAACTCCAAAAGAAACAGTGTACAGTTGTCCCTCAGTATATGTGAGGAATTGGTTTCAGGACCCCCAAATATACCCAAATCCATGCAGAACACTCCTTGTGTGAAAACTCAGCCCTCAGCATATGTGAGTTTCTCATTCTGTGAATACTGTATTTTCCATCTGCATTTGATTGGAAATAATCTTTTTTCTTTTTTTTTTTTTGAGACAGGGTCTTGCTCTGTTGCCCAGACGGGAGGGCAGTGGCATGATCTCAGCTCACTGTAACCTCTGCCTCCTGAGTTCAAGCAATTCTTTTGCCTCAGCCTTCCGAGTAGCTGGGATTACAGGTGCGTGCCACCACCCCCGGGTAATTTTTATATTTTCAGTAGAGACAGGGTTTCACCATGTTGGCCAGGCTGGTCTCAAACTCTAGACCTCAGGTGATTTGCCTGCCTTGGCCTCCCAAACTGCTGGGATTACAGGCGTGAGCCACCATGCCCGGCCCTCTTTCAAATTACTTTATACCTCCCCTGAGACATGTGTCACACTCTGCCTTGTACAACAGGCAAGAACCTCAACTTTTCAACTGAAACACCTGTTACAAGTGTTTTAAGCCTCTTGATGTCCCCCATAGATGTCCAATGACTTCAGTCTTACCATCTATCGGAGAAGAGAAACATTTCAAAATACTACAACATGTCTTTCTTAGAGAAAAGCCTAGAAGTACAATCTCTGGAAACAATAAATATAGTAAGATTTGATAACTGATTTTCCCATCACACTTAGCAAAGCTTATCAGATAGAAAATACATGACAAGAGAAAGGAGCAATACACTGCCCACTCACTAGTAACTATCACACGATACACACCTGTTAGCCCAGTTTACATGAGTGCTCTTTGGAGAACCCAAAGACAACAGTGTTCTTTGGAGAACCCAAAGACAGCTTTGTAAATAAATTTTAATATCACAACATCAAAAGTTTAGTACATTGATCTTATAGATTTTTTTAAGGTAAACTGAAGGGCTTCACATCTCTCAGAAATAGAGTCCCTGGCACTCAGATCTTGGTATCCCATAGAACAGGTCCTGGTACCACAAATAAACTAGGTATTCTCTACATTCCTGATATTTCATCAGTATCTGGTGAGATCTTACCTGCTTGCCTTCCCCAACCCCAAAAACCCAAGTATCTTAAACTTGCTTTACTAAAATTTACTTTTCCCCTTTACTTATTTGCCAAGTATTAATATATGCAAACTATATTTGCAACATAAAACGTATTGAAACATGAGCAAAATGTACATATATCAAATTTTTTCTTTTTTTTTGTTTTTTTTTTTTGGGACGGAGTTTCGCTCTTGTTACCCAGGCTGGAGTGCAATGGCGCGATCTCGGCTCACCGCAACCTCCGCCTCCTGGGTTCAGGCAATTCTCCTGCCTCAGCCTCCTGAGTAGCTGGGATTACAGGCACGCGCCACCATGCCCAGCTAATTTTTTGCATTTTTAGTAGAGACGGGGTTTCACCGTGCTGACCAGGATGGTCTCGATCTCTTGACCTTGTGATCCACCCGCCTCGGCCTCCCAAAGTGCTGGGATTACAGGCTTGAGCCACCGCGCCCGGCCTAATTTTTTCTTTTTAATAAGATATAATAAATTTGCATTCCTCTAAAAGCCGCCACTGTAAGAACAAAAATATTGCTTTCAAGAATGTCAAATGATATTTAAAAAGAAATGTTTGGCCAGGCACGGTGGCTTACACCTGTAATCCCAGCACTTTGGGAGGCTGCGGCAGGCGGATCACCTGAGATCAGGAGTTTAAGGTCAGCCTGGCCAACATGGTGAAACCCCATCTCTACTAAAAACAGAAAAATTAGCTGGGTGTGGTGGCGTGTGCCTGTAATCCCAGCAACTCAGGAGGCTGAGGCAGGAGAATCACTTGAACCCAGGAGGTGGAGGTTACAGTGAGCCGAGATCACACCATGGCATTCCAGCCTGGGAGACAGTGAGACTCCATCTTAAATAAAAAAAGAAAAGAAAAGAAATGTTCTTCCTACTTTTGAACTAAGGCTATAATCATTTTGTTAAGTAGACAATAATAGACCTGATAGACCTGATTTTTAATCCAGACTCTGTTATTTATTATATGATTTACTTCCTTCATCTATAAAACAGAGCTATTATGTAGCTCATAGAAATGTGTGTAAGGTTAAAGTACACTGCAGTGCCTAGTACTGAAAGATGTTTGCTATTATCATCATGTGAACTTAAGTTATTTGAACCTTAAACCTCAGCTTAATCATGAAGTAGTTTAAATAATAAGACATTCATTTTACTCTATCCTTATCAATTAAATAACTGGCAAATGATAGGGCTTCATATTGGACTTCTCAAATTTTAGTCTTTTTTTTTTTTTTTTGAGACGGAGTTTCGCTCTTGTTACCCAGGCTGGAATGCAATGGCGCGATCTCGGCTCACCGCAACCTCCGCCTCCTGGGTTCAGGCAATTCTCCTGCCTCAGCCTCCTGAGCAGCTGGGACTACAGGCACGCGCCACCATGCCCAGCTAATTTTTTGTATTTTTAGTAGAGACGGGGTTTCACCATGTTGACCAGGATGGTCTTGATCTCTTGACCTCGTGATCCACCCGCCTCGGCCTCCCAAAGTGCTGGGATTACAGGCTTGAGCCACCGCGCCCGGCCAAATTTTAGTCTTAATATGTAGGTTAAAATTTTTGTTTTTCTTTAACAGAATTAGTTTACAGTTATAGACAAATATTTTATCATCACTGCAGTTCAAATGTCTAAATGGTGCTCTAAAGTATTATGGTATGTATCAATCCAAGATCTTTAAATAAGATTTCAATCAGCATTTCCTTCCAAGTACGCATTCTCTCACCAAAGATGGCTCAAAATCATTCCAGCAACCAATTCCTTCAGTTTCTGCTCATACATTACCAATCCTGAAGAAATACATTTGTCTCATCCATCTCATATATAATTATATGTTATGCAATATATAACTCCATTACCTCTTTCTTTAATTCCAATTATTCCCTAATATTAACTATAGACACCGCCAGAAATAAAACACAATTTGGGACAGTGAAAAAAACTTCTAGATGTACAGGTCGTTCCAGTCCTAATCCCTGACCTTTCTACCACAGCTGTGTACCCTCTTAAAGAAATGACTTAATAAAATAACAGTATTAGTTCATATTTGTATGGCAGTGTAACAAATTGTGGTCTATTCAACAGAATACTATATACGTTGTAAATGATACTGATCCATATTTACAGACACAGAAAAAGTTCTATGATAAATTGTTAAATGAAAAGGGCATATGATTACATTATCACAAAAATACAAATATATTAAAATGTTCACTCTGAAAGGTTATATAGTAAAGGTTAATCTCAGAGTAAGAAAATTATAACTAATTTTTTTCTTTCTACTTATCCAGACTATAAATTTTGCAATGAACATTATTTATGAAGAAATCATTAACCTTTAAAAAAAAATCAAAAACTTCAAGTTATTTCCCACTGTGACATGAATATATACGACTATATCTCTCCATTTAAGAAGTATGAGATGTGCATACCAGGAGCTCATCCATGCTAGTTTGACATTTCTCAAGGTTTATCCGTTTGATTGCCACTTTCTCCTTTTTAGGGGCACAATAAGCTGCTTGGACCACAGCAGTTGCTCCACTCCCTAAAAACAAATATATAAAAGAGTAAATAAGTGGATGGATATATAAAAACATGACATTTTTAATTTCCATACAATTTAAACAAGAGTAATCCTTATCTTGTTCCTACAGTGCATAACAGATGCAGAAAAACACTCTAAAGAGTGTCAGTTAAAGCAAAAGCCTCAACCATTTCATATGTATTGCCAATAAATACCAGTGCAAAAATAAATTTCAAAGCTGCTAGGATTCCAGTTCTCGAAAACAATGGCGTAGGCTCACATTTCCTCACTCCTCCGCTCCAAATACAACAAAATAGCAGAAAAATAATTCAACAAACAATCATAAGAAGATTCTGAAATGTAGAAAGAGAAGTAGACTAGTTAGGGATCTCAAGACTTCAAGAAAACACCACAGTAAGTTCACTGGGTTTTCCCTTTACCTCCCAAATATCCCGACTGGACACTAGGGAGGCTTGCAAACTGGAACGAACATCACAAATGGATGGATAAGGTAGGTAGATAAAGACAAATAAATAAATGAGAAAACTCTGCTGTCTCTGGCCAACAGACTGTGAAAAGGGCAGCTCAGCAGAGACCTAGCAGAGAGATACATTTTCCTGTCCCCATCCAGGATAGTGGTGAACCCAATCCACTGCAGCATCAGCAGGGTCTCCACACTAGACCTGAAACAGTGGCCGGCCAGATTCACCACAGTGCCAGCCTGGTATCTGCCCCACACCTGTGGCAATGTCAAGTCAATCTGCCCTTAGCAGCAGCAGAGCCAGGGCCCCACACCCACAAGTCAGCCCAGGGAGCTGCAGAGATAGAATGGGAGTTCTAGCTGAATAAATGAGAGTTCTAGAAGAATAAAATAGAAGAAAATAGCATTGCAAGCGATCTGAAAACTGAATTACCATAGGATTACAGCTCACAAAAGTAGGACAAGAGCTATACACTAAACCTAAATAGGGTAACTGCCTATTAAAATAGAAGAATTAAACAGGATAAAGAGTCTCAGCCAGGTGCAATGGCATGCACCTGTAATCCTAGATAATCAGGAGGCTGAGGCAAGAGGATCGTCTAAGGCCAGGAGTTAGAGACCACCTGGGAAACATAGCAAGACCCCGTCTCATTTAAAAAAAAAAAAAAAAGTCTCCTCACATAATAACCTAAATGTCCAAGATACAATTACAAAACAAAAAAATGACATGTCATACCAAGAGCCAGGAAAAGCACACTTGAATGAGGAAAAAAAAAAAAGATGATCATACTGATGCCAGCACCAAAACAAATCAGTTGTTGGAATTATCTCACAAGAATTTTAAAGCAGCCATCACAAAAGGGCTTCTACAAACAATTACAAAATCTTTTGAAACAGACCAGGTGCTGTAGCTCACACCTGTAATCCCAGCACTTTGGGAGGCCAAGGTAGATGGATCAGGAGATCACGACCATCCTGGCCAACATGGTAAAACTCCATCTCTACTAAAAATACAAAAATTAGCTTGGTGTGGTGGTGCAGTACTGAAATCCCAGCTACTCAGGAGTCGAGGCACGGGAATCACTTGAACCCAGGAGGCGGAGGTTGCAGTGAGCCAAGATTGCACCACTGCGCTCTAGCCTGGCAACAGAGTGAGACTCCATCTCAAAACAAAAAAAAGAAAAAAGAATTGAAACAAATAAAAAGCAGAAAATCTCAGCAAAGAAGCTACTTTTTTTTTTTTTTTTTTTAGACACAGTCTCACGCTGTCGCCAGGCTGGAGGACAGTGGCGCAATCTTGGCTCACTGCCACCTCCACCTCCCGGGTTCAAGCAATTCTCCTGCCTCAGCCTCCCAAGTAGCTGGGACTACAGGTGCACGCCACCACCCCCAGCTAATTTTTGTATTTTTAGTAGAGACGGGGTTTCACCATGCTGGCCAGGATGGTCTCAATCTCCTGACCTTGTGATCCGCCTGCCTTGGCCTCCCAAAGTGCTGGGATTACAGGCTTGAGCCACTGCGCCCGGCCAAGAAGTTACTTTTAAAGTACCACATGGAAATTATATAACTGAAACATACAATTACCAAAATAAAACATTTGCTGGATAGACTCAATAGGAGAATGGAAATGACAGAAGATAAATTTGGTGAACGTGAAGAAAAGATCAATAGTTTGCTGTATCTAAACAACAGAGAGAAAACAGACTGAAAAAAAAAAAAAAAAAAAAGAACAGAGCCTTAGGGAATGGTGGGATAATGATAAAAGATCTAAAGTCCATATGTTAGGTAGAATAATGGGCCTCCCAAAGATGTATGTGTCTTAATCCCCAAAGCCTGTGAATGTTACCATATGCAGCAAAAAAGGACTTTGCAGATGATAAGGATCTTCAGATGGGAAGATTATCCTAAATTGTCTGGGTGGGCCCAAAGTAAGTGAAAGAGAGAAGCAGGAGGGTCAGTCAGAGCAGATGAGAGAATAGAAGTAGTCAGAGTTAGAGCCAGGTGCAGTGGCTCATGCCCATAATCCCAGCACTCTGGGAGGCCAAGGTGGGAAGATGGCTGGGGTCCAGGAGTTCAAGACCAGCCTGGGTGACATGGCAAAACCCCATCTCTACAAAAAATACAAAAATTAGCCAGGCATGTGGTATACACCTAAAATCCTAGCTACCTGGAAGGCTGGGGTGGGAGGATCACTTGAGCCTGGGCGACAATAGTGACAGTGAGCCAAGAACATGCCACTGCACTCTAGCCTGGAAGACACAGTGATACTCTTGTCTCAAAAAAAAAAAAAAAAAAAAATGGAGTTATGCAGACATGAGCCGGGAAGCAAATACACATGCTTAAAAACAGTTTTCATTATGAAAACACATTAAGTGACACCAGGCACAAAAGTCCATATATAGTATGATTCCAATTATATGAAATACCAAGATTATAAAAGTTCATAGACACAGAAAGTAGTTCTTTCTGTGGTTACCAGAGTCTGGAGGGAGGGAGAAATGGGGAGTACAGCTAATGCATACAGTTGACCCATGAACAACGTGGGCTTGAACTGCATGAGTCCACTTACATGAAGATTTTTTTCCGGCTGGGCACAGTGGTTCATGCCTGTAATCTCAGCACTTTAGGAGGCTGAAGTTGGCAGATCACTTGAAACCAGAGTTCGAGACCAGCCTGGCCAACATGGCGAAACCCTGCCTCTACTAAAAATACAAAAATTAGGCTAGGCACAGTGGCTCACCCCTGTAATCCCCAACACTTGGGAAGCGGAGGCAGGCAGATCACATGGGACCAGGAGATCAACATGCTATTAATATATTTCAGGTTTTGCATATATAAGATACACTGATCAGTGTTAGATTATCCAGGGGTAGAATAGCTGGTTTGAAAACTAATAGTGGTTAAAAAGAATACCACTGGATAGTACATTTTTAAAAATATTGTAAAGAATCAGTGAACACATGTACATTTTGGAAGATGTCTGTTATCTGGGACCAAAGGTACCTTGTAGAGGCCATGCTATGTCTCCTGTGACTTGAGAAATGCCTTTTTTGTAGATTTTTGACCAGCATGATTAGCTTCCTTCTCCTATTCACAGATGTTCCCAAGAGTCACTGAAGGCAATTCAAAGGAGTTAAACTTTCTTCAGGGCTTCTATGCAGAAATAGTTAGGAGAGGATGGGATGTGAGAGGGAGGGAACTTAATGGCAAGCATTACCATTCTGCCTCTCTGTCTTCCACACGTAACAAAGGGAGCTCAGCCAAGAAGCAGATAAACTGCAAATATTTAAATAGCAGTCTTTGGGTAATTTTTAAGAAGTAATACGTTAATGTTCCTAAACTGTTGTCAAAATTGTTCATGTACACTATGGGATGATGTTATTGAATGCTAAATGTGTTCATTTGTTTTTGCTTTTTTTCTTTTTTGTTTTTTAAGGCAGGGTCTCACTCTGTCACCCAGGCTGTGGAGTGCAGTGGTACAAACATGGCTCACTGCAGCATCGACCTCCTGGGCTCAGGCAATCTTCCCACCTCAGCCTCCCAAGTAGCTGGGGCTACAGGTGTGCACCACCATGCCTGGCTAATTTTTTTATTTTTCATTTTAGAGACGGGGTCTCACCGTGTTGCCCAGGCTGGTCTCGAACTCCTGGCCCCTATGATACTCCTGTTTCAGCTTTCCAAAGTGCTGAGATTACACATGTGAGTCACCACCCCCAGAAGTATATTCTTAAATATTGGATTTTATTTTAAATTTTGCATTATGTGAGTTTTGTGCTGTTTCTTGTTTGTTTGTTTTTTGAGACAGAGTATTGTTCTGTTGCCCAGGCTGAAGTGCAATGGTGTAATCTCAGCTCACTGCAACCTCTGCCTCCTAGGTTGAAGCCATTCTTATACCTCAGCCTCCTGAGTAACGGGGATTACAAATATGTGCCACTATACCCAGCTAATTTTTGTATTGTTTTAGTAGAGACGAGGTTTCGCCAGGCTGTTGGCCAGGCTGGTCTCGAACTCCTTGGCTCAAGTGATACGCCTGCCTTGGCCTCCCAAAGTGCTGGGATTACAGGCGTGAGTCACTGCAGCTGGCCCTGTGCAGAGTTTTTACTTAGTTTGTTATAACTGTGATTGGGATTTGTCCATGTTGGTTTTGTCTATGGTTGTGTTTGTGCGGCTTTAGTGAGAGGTTTTCAAATGGATTTAAATGTAACAAACACAAATTCTGTTAAACTATATAGTTATATGTGTAAATCACATATATATATAAATATATATTTATATACTTATTTTTGAGACAGTCTTGCTCTGTTATACGTGTAAATGATATATATATATAAATATATATTTATAGTTATGTGTAAATCACATATATATATTTTATAGTTATATGTGTAAATCACATATATAAATATATATTTGTAGTTACATGTGTAAATCACATATATATAAATATATATTTATAGTTATATGTGTAAATCACATATAACTATAAATATATATTTATATACTTATTTTTGAGACAGAGTCTTGCTCTGTCACTCAGGTGGAGTGCAGTGGGACGATCTTGGCTCACTACAACCTCTGCCTCTTGGGTTCAAGCGATTCTTCTATCTCAGCCTCCAAAGTAGCCGGGACTACAGGCATACACCACTGCACCTGGCTGGTTGTTTTTTTTGTTTTTTTTTGTTTTTGTAGAGATAAGGTTTTGCCATGTGGCCCAGGCTGGTCTCAAACTCCTGGGCTCAAGTGATCCTCCTGACCTGAAATCACAAAGTGCTGGGGTTAAAAATGTAGATAAAGAAATGTTTGATTTTAACTTTGGTTGTTATTATTTTCTAGTCATTATTAAACACAGAATCAATTTCACTAATAGCAAAATACCAAACATATTATCAATCATAATTGTTTATATACTAAGGTATCTTTCTTTCACTCAAAGTTTAATTTGATTAATGAACAAATCTTCTCAGACCATGATATTGTGCTCTGGTGTGATTTAACAATGGTCAAATGACAAGATGCTAATGTTTCCCACACCAAATGATAAAAAGGGACTTTCAGGCTCCAGTTCTTCTATGCTGTCACTTTCTTTTTTTTTTTTTTTTTTTTTTGAGACGGGGCTTCACTCTTGTTACCCTGGCTGGAGTGCAATGGCACGATCTCGGCTCACCACAACCTCCGCCTCCTGGGTTCAGGCAATTCTCCTGCCTCAGCCTCCTGAGTAGCTGGGATTACAGGCACGTGCCACCACGTCCAGCTAATTTTTTGTATTTTTAGTAGAGACGGGGTTTCACCATGTTGACCAGGATGGTCTCTATCTCTTGACCTCGTGATCCACCCGCCTCGACCTCCCAAAGTGCTGGGATTACAGGCTTGAGCCACCGCGCCCAGCTATGCTGTCACTTTCATCCATCTTCATATTATCTTCCCAAAATATGTATCAAAATAATGTACAGCAACTAAAAAATATTTTAAGGTTCTAACATAAAGGACTATGGTAATGCAGTAAAAACTCACTACTTTCAGCACTAACTCAATGATGTTCTCTCATTAGAAAAATATTTACTTCCTAGAAAACAGCAATTAATAATGTAAATAAGACTATCTAAAAAATTTATCATAATTATTTTAACGATTCTCCAATATTCTACAATAATCTAATAACATAGGAGGATTAGAGATACAAATAAAAAATATTTCATCTCTTCTTCAAAGTAGGGTTCCTCAATAGTTTTTAAATCTACAAGTCAGTTTACTGAGTTTACCATCATTTTTCTTGATGTAAATAGGATCAAACAGAAAACATCAGTATACACTGTACATAACAAAAACAAACGCTATTTGTAAAACTGTTACTTTAGTATAAACATTCATACATATGGGTAAAATGTATCTGTTAGGAATGGTTTGGTCTGCCGTAACAGAATGTTTTAGAAAAAAAAAATTAAAAAAGAACAAAAGGAATGGTTTAGTCAGTGTGATAGCTACGTCCCTAATGCCCTTGACTAGGTATTGGCCTAATCTGAAGACTAATATAATGGAACATTTAAAACAATTTCCAATAAAACACCCTAATTCAGCCTTTTGCTATTTCACACTGGTGTGCATCCTCAATGCCCCACCCCACATCCTCACATCTTCCACTCTCCTTCTGTCCTCTCCTAGTCAGCTCTTTAACTGCAACCAACATTAGCACACATTACACAGCAAAATGAATTAGTGTGCGGAAAATATGGATGAACCTTCTCCTTAAATCTTTCAAACCGGGTAACTCTACTTCTTGAGAGAGAAGGAGCTGCCCAAGCATGAACAGGACTAAGAAAAAATTTCAGCCTCTCTCTGCTTTTCTATACTGAGAAATTTAAAAGAGAGAATGTAGGGCTGGGCACAGTGGCCTCTTTGGGTGGCCGAGACAGGGAGATCACTCGAGCTGAGAAGTTTGAGACCAACCTGGCCAACATGGTAAAACCCTGTTTCTACAAAAAATACAAAAATTAGCCTGGCGTGGTGGCACACGCCTGTAGTCCCAGCTGCTTGGGAGGCTGAGGTATGAGGATGGCTTGAATCTGGGAGGCAGGGGTCGCAGTGAGCCATGATCATGCCACTGCACTACAGCCCGAGCAACAGAGCGAAACTCCATCTCAAAATAAATACATCTTAAAAAAAGAGAGAGACAGAATGTAAAACTAGATATTCCTGTGAGGAAAAAATGAATTAAATGAATCAAATCAAATGAATATATTGTCCCCAAAATTGGGTCCAACCATCACTATAACAGGGTTAGAGTCTAAAGATTTTAAAGTATATTTTAGTCAGGTTTTACATTCACTAAAGAAAAGCACTAGCCCAGACTGTTTGTTTTGAAAGATGACTAAAACATTGTCACCTAAACCATGCAAAACACAGGAATTTACAATTTTGTTAACCCCTTTTCTAAATAAGGTCTCTTGTCAGAGTCATGTTGAAAATTAACTGGCAGAACAGCTGTAAGAATAGTCATCATCTTAAAAATTATGCTATTCTCTTCATACAAAGATGAAAATAAGACACACTGCCATATGCTTCAAGTAATTATTCAAGCAGCCTGATGGTTCTGTAATGAATCATCACTCACTCTCCTGTTCACTCTGGTGATCTCCCATCTCAGCGGATGGCAACTCCATTCTTCCAGATGCTCTAGCCAAAAGTTTTGGAATCATCTCATCTTCCCTTTCTTTCACATCTAATCCAACAGCAAATCCTCTAACTTCAAAAAAATATGCTACACCCAGAATCTGACCACTTCTCACCGTCTCCACTATGACTTCTCTCCCCTGGATAACCTCCCTCCACCCTTGTGCCCTTACAACACTATTCTTCACATTGCAGTCTGAGGCTTCTTTCGGTTTGTTTGTTTTGAGACAGCATCTCATTCTGTCACCCAGGCTGGAGTGCAGTGGCAAGATCTAGGCTCACTGCAACCTCCGCCTCGCGGGTTCAAGCAATTCTCGTGCCTCAACCTCCCAAATAGCTGAGATTACGGACATGCACCACCAAACCCAGCTAATTTTTGTATTTTTAGTAGAGATGGGGTTTCACCATGTTGACCAGGCTGGTCTTGAACTCCTGGCCTCATGTGATCCACCCACCTCTGCCTCCCAAAGTGCTGGGATTACAGCCATGAGCCACCTCACCTGGCCTGCAGCCTGAGTTTTAAAACATAAGTCAGGTCATTTAAATCTCTGTTCAAAACCCTGTAATGATTTTCAATCTTACTCAAAGCAAAAGCCAAGTTCCTACAACGACTTGCAATCTGACAATAAGGACCATGCATCCATACCATCTCTCCTTTCTAACCTCTTCACTTATCCGTCTCTTCACCCTCTGACTTACTCTGCTCTAACTGCCCTCACACCTCCTTAGCATTCCTGAATCACATCAGCATGCTTCTACTTCAGAACCTTTGTTCTTGTCATCCTCTGCTTGGAACAACAGAAAACCACATCATTCCCTTCTTGACCTTCTTCCTCAAATGTCACCTTCTCAGTGACATTTTCCCTGACCTATTTAAAACTGAAACACCACCTCCATCCCTAGCAGTCCCTACCCCCTTTTCCTGCTTTATTTTTCTTCTTTAGAGTTTCTAGATTATAAAATCTGCGGAAGCAGGCATTTTTGTGTTTGCTTCACTGTTTTATCTCCAGCATCCAGAAAAGTGCCTGGCACATAACAGTTCAATAAATATTTGCCAAATGAATTAATCAAGTAGTGGAGTATATTTTCAAGGGGAAAAAAAACTTGTCAGGGTAGAACGAACACAAAAATAGCCCCGTCTTCATGGGTATTATTTCATTGTTACCATCATGTACATTAACACTCACTGAGCATTCACTCTGTGGCTGAGTCTGTGCTGAGCACTTTCTTTACTTACATTTCTTCTGTTCATCTAATAATTACAATAATCCCATGCATTAGATATTAATGGTCTTACAAGGCAATGTAAGTAAAGCAATGTAATTAAGGTAAAACTTAGGTCATACGGTTAGTTAGGCAGAGTAGGGCCTAGAAATGAGAACTACCTGAGTTTCAAAACTACACTCTTAATTGGTAGGCAACTGCCTCTTCAGATTAAAGCTAACATTTATTAACTGATTACTACGTGCCAGATTACTTACTTGCACATAGTAATAGTAAATACTTATTTAACTATTTTCATTAAAAAAAAAAGAAGAGGCCAACATTTTTAGTTGCTTAGCCAACATATAATTTCCCCTTCTTTAGTAAGAGAATCCTGACCTATTTTGTTTGAATGGGTCCAGCTAAAGCTTCATTTCCCAGCCTCCCTTGCAAATGACAAAATTATACAGTTCTGGTCACTTGTAAACTACAAGTGGAGGCCACTGAGTAAGGCATCCATGGAAGAAAGCTTTTTGAAAGACAGCCAACTCAGCTGTCATGTGTCTTTGTCCTTTTGTCATATTCTTCCAGACTAGAACACAAGCATGAGTCTAGAGGTGGCACGACCATCTTCCAACTACGAGAAGGAGAATCAGGTGCTAAGTGTGGTGGCACAGAAAACTAGGAGCCTGGGTGCCTGACAGCACCTAGGCTGCCACCTCCAGTCTTCTTGTTACATAAGAGGAGAGAAGGATTTTATTAAGCCGCTATTATTTCCATTTTCCCCACATGCAGAGAAATGTAATCCTTATTTGATACAACCCTATGAAATGCTGGCCTCGTAGAAAATGTCACTTAGCTGAATCTCTCAATCAAAGGAAAAATACACTACTAAGCATCATTCTATTGAAAGCATGAAGTCCTTCACATTTATGGAGGCACTAAAGGTAAAGGCCCTGGAATCTGCATTTGAAAACCACAACTTCAGATTCAAAACGTGTGGCTAGTGAACAATTCATGAAAATTAAAAAGAAGGGAAAGTCAAAAATAGAAATATATTGCATTGCCTTCACCAAAGTGTCAAAGCTAGGTGAATCATACCTTCAACCTAGTATGGAGTTTTCGATTTTCTAGTCTGAGGTAAATAGTAAATACTTATGGAGACTTTTCAAGATGCAGGACAATAAAAGCTACATGGCGCAGCCCTCTGCCATCATACTGTGTTACTGGCAATATCATGGTGATGGTCCTTACAGTTATACTACCATCTCCAACACAAATCCCTAAACCCATCTGAACCTGAAGGAGGCTTGGACTGAGAAAAAAAAGATGCAATAATGTTCCAATAAGCATTAAAAACAGATTTAAAATATTTTAAGTGTTACAAAATTTCACATCACATAGTATTTTATTATTTCATGGCAATACCAAAAATTGGGAAATATAAGGACAAGGAGAAGGGTAAAAAAAGTCACAGCTAACAACAACTATCATTTTATACAAGCTAAACACTTCCCACAAATAATTACACTCAATCCATATAACAACCCAGTGACATAGGTACTATTCTCCCCAGTATACAGACAAAAAGCTGACATGGAAACTAATTATATGATTTGTCCAAGACCACATAACCAGTAAGAGGCAAAGCCAGGATTTGAATCTGGGTCAGTCTAACTCCGAAGTCCAAATTTTTACAGCTGTTCTAACACATGTCAAATACAGTATAACACATGCTCAGAAATTCTAAGACTAAGGGCTAGGAGCTAGCTCAAAAATACTGAAAGATCAATGATTAATTGTGAGAATGATACTAATATCTTTTACACATAATCATACTTAAAGAACTTCAAATTTTGCCAAAGCATGCTTAAGATGATACAATTCTTTTTCAAGTCCCCTGAATTTTCAATCCATAGACTTTTAATATGTTCTCAGGAGGAGATTCTGTTCTCTGCAGGATTTTACCAGAAAGATGAAGAACAAAACAGAATGTGAGAAACAATCCCATAAATAGTATAGTGCTAAGTAACAACTGTGAAAAAAATACAGTTCAAATAATTTAAGTTGAAATAAACGTATGTGTTTCGATGGAGATGACATCATTGCATTGATTTCTCTAGAATACAATCCTTTGAAAACAAAATTTAAATGATCCCAAACCCCTTTTTCTAGATTTTAATCTTGTCTCCTGAAAAAGTTGAGTGTAATCTGAAGAAATCATAAAGATTCTTTTGAAGACTATAGCTTATCATAAAATACTATGTACCAAACATTTAGGTATGGAAGCAGCGTTAAAATGAGAATACAACGCTTTATCGAACCTTGCTACTTTACTAGCCTGTAGCTCAAGAAAAACTTTTTTTTCTCCTTGTTGGGAAAATGGAGAGAGGCAGTAAGAAGACTGGAAGGATATGACAGGCGTGCAGCATCTAAGGGTAGATATTTTTTCACTCTAAGGGTAGATATTTCCCTTGGCCAGGCACAGTGCCTCACGCCTGGAATCCCAACACTTTAGGAGGCTGAAGTGGGAGGACTACTTGAGCCCAGAAGTTTGAGACAAGCCTGGACAACATATGAGACCCTGTCTCCACAAAAAATAAGACAATTAGGTGGGTACGGTGGCATGTGCCTGTAGTTCAGCACTGGGGAGGCTAAGGCAAGAGGGTCACTCAAGCCAGTTCATACAGTGAGACAGTGAGCTGGGATTGCCCCACTGCATTCCAGCCTGGGTGACAGAGTGAAACCCTGTCTCAAAAAGAAGTGGAGGAGATATTTCCCTTAATCTGTGGGACAATGACCCCCATCTTCCAGTTTATATCCAAAAACCAAGCAATGTAGATACAGGAACAAGAATCCTGAATTAGGCTACAGGAAACGTAGATGCCAGCTTTAGGCAGTCATTTTAGCTTTCTGTCTCTATGTCTTCAACTGTAAAACAAGGTGATTCACCTTACTTTACACCCTACACAAAAATTATGTATCAGAGGCTTAAATGCAAGACCTAAAACTGTAACACTTAAAGATAACATAGGAAAAAAAAAATCTTCACAATGATTGAGTTAGTCAAGATTTCTTAGATACAACACCAAAAGCAAAATCAATAAAAGAAAAAAGTGATAAGCATCAAAACTCAAAACTTTTGTGCTTTTAAAAGACACCATTAAGAAAATGAACGAGGTCGGGCACAGTGGCTCACACCTATAATTCCAGCACTTTGGGAGGCCAAGGCAGGCAGATCACTCAAGGTCAGGAGTTCGAGAGCAGCCTGACCAACACAGTGAAACCCAGTCTCTACTAAAAATACAAAAAATTAGCTGGGGTTGGTGGCGCACACCTATAATCCCACCTACTCGGGAGTCTGGGACAGGAGGATCACTTGAACCCAGGAAGCAGAGGTTGCAGTGAGCTGAGATTACGCCACTGCGCTTCAGGCTGAGCCACAGAGCAAGACTCCGTCTCCAAAAAAAAAAAAAAAGTTAAAATGAAAGAAGGCTAGGCGAAGTGGCTCATGCCTGTAATCCTAACACTTTGGGAGGCTGAGGCAAGCGGACCACCTGAGCCCAGAAATTAGAGACCATACTGGAAATGTGTTAAAACCCTGTCTCTACAAAAACACAAAAATTAGCCAAACATGGTGGCATGCACCTGTAGTCCCAGCTACTCGCAAAGCAGGGGTAGGAGGATCACTTGAGCACAGGAGGTGGAAGTTACAGTGAGCCCTGATCACACCACTACACACCAGCCTAGGTGACAGAGTAAGACTGTCTCAAAAAAAAAAAAAAAAAAAAACTACACTATCTCACAACTGTCATCCCAGCACTTTGGGAGGCTGAGATGGGCAGATCACCTGAGGTCAGGAGTTGCAGACCAGTCTGCCCAACATGGTGAAACATCTCTACTAAAAATGCAAACATTAGCGGGGTGTGGTGGTGGGCGCTTGTAATCCCAGCTACTCGGAAGGCTGAGGCAGTAGAAGGATAATCGTTTGAACCAGGAGGCAAAGGTTGCAGTGAGCCAAGATCACACCTCTGCACTCCAGCCTGGGTGACAGAGCAAGACTCCATCTCAAAAAAAAAAAAAACAAGGCCGGGGGGGGGGGCCAAGCCTGTAATCCCAGCACTTTGGGAGGCCGAGGCGGGTGGATCACGAGGTCAAGAGATCGAGACCATCCTGGTCAACATGGTGAAACCCCGTCTCTACTAAAAATACAAAACATTAGCTGGGCATGGTGGTGCGTGCCTGTAATCCCAGCTACTCAGGAGGCTGAGGCAGGAGAATTGCCTGAACCCAGGAGGCGGAGGTTGCGGTGAGCCGAGATCGCACCATTGCACTCCAGCCTGGGTAACATGAGTGAAACTCCGTCTCAAAAAAAAAAAAAAAAAAAAAACAGATAACAAAACAAAGAACCCAACAGGCAGTCCAAGTGGACAAAGGATTTGAATAGATATTTCACCAAAAAAGAGCTATGAAAGCCTAATAAATAAGCACATGAAAGGATGCTCAAAACCACAGTGAGATACCACTTCATAGCCAATAGGATGGTAACACACAAAAAGACAACAACTATAGAGAAATGAGAACTCTTATAATTACTAGCAGGAACATTAAATGGTACAGTTACTTTGAAAAACGGTTTGGCAGTTTCTTAAACAGTTAAATTTGTGATACAACCCAGCAATTCCACTCCTGGGTATATATCCAAGGAAAATGAAACATATTCATATGAAGACTTGATGTGAATACTCACAGCAGCCTTATTCCAAACAGCCAAAAAGCAGAAACAATCCTACATCCATCAACTGGTGTCCAATAAAAAGGAACCATGTATTGCTACGTGCTAGATGGATGAACCTCAAAAAGCATTATGTGAAGTAAAAGCAGCAGAACACAAAGGACTATATATTATATGATTACATTTACATAAATGTCCAGAAAGGGCAAATCTATACAGACAGAAAGTATATGTGATTGCCTGGGGCGGGGGGTGGGAACAGGGAGTAACTGCAAATGGACATGAGGCATCTTTCTGGAATGATGAAAATGTTCTAAAATTGGATTGTGGTGATGACTGAACAATCACATAAATTTACTGAGATTATTGGGTTGTACATTTTAACCAGGTAAATTTTATGTTACATAAATTATGCCTCAAAATTGTTTTTTAAAAATTAAAAGATATTTATGCTAAGTGAAAGAAACCAAATATGAAACACCACGTTATATGATCTCTTTTATATGCAATGTCCAAAAAAGGCAAGTCTATAGAGACAAAAAGTAGACCTGTAGTTGCCTAAGGCTGGGGGTGGAAAAGGGGATTAACTGTAAGAAAGCACAAGAGATCTCATGGGGATGATAGAAATACTCTAAAACTGGATTATGGTGATAACTGCACAACACAGGGAATTTACTGAAAATCACTAAATGTTACACTTAAAATGGATGTATTTCATATGAAATTATACCTCAGTAAAGTTGTTTTAAATCTATGAAAGATGGTCACATCACATTGGCGTTCCTAACCTTTTAAAAGCCATGGACCACTTTGTGGGTGTGAGGAACACTAACCCTATCCAGAAGACTGAGAAACTCCCTTTTGCCCACTCAGATATCCTATGGGTCCGAGGACACCAAATTAATAAATCACAAAATCTCTAGCGCCTTTGCAACTCTGAAATTCTTTGCCACCATAACAGCAAAGGCTTTGAGAATGACTACAACCATCCTCTTCACCCTAGAAAGATGGACACACTACCAGAAAAAATTCTTCTTCTAAAATGATAGGGAACCTCGTCTTTACTTATCTGACATCATTTCAGAATCTTCCATTTAATCCTTTCCTTCAATATGACAGTCTGACTAGGGGAACCAGAAGCCATCAATCAAGACTGGGAACTAGCTAACTGTCTTTAGAACCAAGCAGTACATGTCAAAGACCCACTGTGTAGCAAGGCACAGGCCCATGATGCGGCTTCCGCAAGATATGATGTCTTTCAGATTACACTTAGTCCAGGTGTTTCTGTTTTGTTTTGTCTTTGTTTCTCCTACACAAACCAATATTACTTTAACCCCAGATGGTTTTAAAACAAGAGGCAAATAAAGTAAAAAACAAATTGTTTGGCCGGGCATGGTGGCTCACGCCTGTAATCCAAGCACTTTGGAGGCCAAGGTGGGCGGATCACCTGAGGTCAGGAGTTCAAGACCAGCCTGACCAACATGGTGAAACCCCGTCTTTAAAAAAAATAATAAAAAATAAAACAAATTGTCTGACATTGTTTTATCTTTTATTATTTTTTTAAACACAGTGAAATAAACACTGACACCCCCAAGGCAGCTAAGGAGTCTTCAGTTGGTCTTTTATTGTAAAACTAATTTTAGTGCAGGATGCTGGCAAAGTAGACAATTCTCCTTCCTCCAATACACAGGGGTCTGCTCATGTCAGTTGGACTGAGCCTGTATGGCTAAACTCATTCTCTTTTGATTTCCAAGGTCACTGGGTTATCGTTGTCCAACAAATACTCCCCTCATCCCCAGTCCGCAGCTCCTCCCAATCCGTAGGCTTCTGTGAGTATTACAATCTATGTTTGTGCAAGTTTTGGTCTCTGCCAACTGGTATTCCCGGACCCCCTTCAAATCTTTTCACACACCAGCCCAATTTATCGGATCACGTCAAGGCACTCTTTGAGGGTCTCCAACGATAAAATATAATTCCAAAGTCTGTACCAAGTCTGAGAAGATCCCTAAGCTGTGGCTCCTCCCTTCCCTCTTCTATCCCTGCCAGCCTTCCTTCAGGTCCTAAAACACATCAAGCTCTTCCCCTACTCAAGGCCACTGCATCTCCTCATCCCTCAGTAAGGAAAAATCTTCCCGAGGCTCTTAATCCTCACTTCTTTTCATCCTTCAGGACTCAACTGCAATGTTATCGCTTCAGAAAAAGAATTTTCCTTTAAATCATCCTAACTAGATCTCCATGTTATTCTCTATCAGAACATCTTGTTTATCTCCTTCATAGCACTTGCCAAAGCCTCTTCTTTTTAATTCTTTTTTTTTTTCTTCTTCTTTCTTTTTGAGACGGAGTCTTGCTCTGTCGCCCAGGCTGGAATGCAGAGGTGCGATCTCGGCTCACCGCAACCTCCGCCTTCCAGGTTCAAGCGATTCTTCTCAGCCTCAGCCTCCCAAGTGGCTGGGACTACCGGCGCCTGCCACCACGCCCAGCTAATTTTTGTATTTTTAGTAGAGACGCGGTTTCATCATACTGGCCAGGCTGGCCTCGAACTCGTGACCTCGTGATCCGCCTGCCTCGGCCTCCCAAAGTGCTGAGATTACAGGCGTGAACCACCGCGTCCGGTCCTTTTTAATTCTTTGTGTCTACTTATTTAACATCTACCTCCTCGACTGGAAAGTCAGTTGGAAAGAGTCGGAAGTTGGGTCTAGGTTGCTCAGAGCGGTTCCTGCAGCTTCACCTGGAGGATCCCCAGCTACCAAAGCTCCTTTTCTATCCCACAATCCCATAAATCGATGGCTGTGGCCACAAGTTCAAGATCCCGTTTCTCCCACAGCCTCGGAAAGGCCTGTCCCACACCTGCACTTTCTTTCTCTACAAGACACATGGGTCGCTCCTGTCCACACATCTGAGAATATTGTACACAAATCTCTCCTGAGCCCCCTCAAGCCCCACCCCACCCGGCCTCTCAGGCGCGCGCCTCAAAACCCCCTTCCCGTCTCACACGCGCTCCTCGACACATGCGTCCTACAAGCCCCTTGCACCGCAGGCGCCCCACGAATTCCTATGAGGGCTGCGCTCCCCGAACTCCCGCGGCTCGCCACGTTCCCGCGTGTCCCCCACCGTCCACCGCCGCGCCTCCCCCCTCCGCGGCGCCTGCTCTCACCGATCACCTCCTGCAGCTCGTAATCGTCCCTGTTGATGGACCAGGGCAGGGCGCTCGAGTCCTCGGACATGACGGCGGCAGCGGCTCGCGGTCCTCGCTCAAACTCGCTGACCTCGCTCGTCTCCTCGCCGCGCGTCTCCCCACCCCCACCAGCCGCCGCCGCGCCCCCACCAATCGTCTCTCAACAGCCACGGGTCGGACGGCGCCGGGGCGCGGGGTCACCGCGCAGCAGAGTGGCGGGGGCTCGGAGCTCCGGCGGACCTCGCCTCCTGCTCCTCTGTGTCCGGCACTGCCCGGCCCAGCCCACGTCCTGTCCTCGGCCTCCGCAGCACCAGCGACAGAAGCTTCGCCTGGGCCCAGCCCCTCTGTCCCGCCCTCACCCCAGCCCCACGCACGGGCCAAACTTTCCCTTCTCCCTCCACCTGCCGACACGCAGCGCGCTGACGTCACCGCGCCGGTCACGCCCTACCTCGGCCCCGCCTCCGGCCGCCATCTCCAGTGTGGCTGGCTATAAAGTAGGCGAGCTGGAAACCCGAGAAGGTGGGATTTGGCGGTGGAAGGGAAGAAATGCTTAGGAAGGGGTTCATCAAAGGCATCGAAAGGCCGTGAGAGAGCCTAAAGTAGCACAGAGGCAGTAGCCACACGAAGCATGGCGACGAAAGGGCAGCCAAGTAAAAGGGGCAGAGCCTCTTCTAGCGCCTGGGGCACGTTGCTGTCTCCGTCGTCGCATTCATTGGTTAGTTTGAGAAGGAATCAGAAAAGCAATGGGTGTGGGTGGATGTCAGTCATAAATTGGTCCCGCCTCCAGGCTCTCTGAGCGCTTGTCTGTTTGGGTTGCAGCCCTTCAACCTGCTCGTCTTACCCCTTCCTCTGTTCCTCTGGAGTGACGTCACGGCGTAACCGTCACACCCTCGAGACGTGCTAAGGGCTCCGCAGGGTGTGGAGAAGCCCTGAGGGAGCGGCTGGGTGGGGTAGCCCTCGGGTGTGGCCCACTGCCAACTGGGATAAAAGGCTGTGGGCCACCGGACGGAGAGAAACTAGGAGTTTGCCTGGTGACGTTCTCTCAAGGCGGACGTTCTTCTAACGCTTGTCGCGGTGCTGTCTCCCGCAGTTCCCTCCTGCATTGGGCGGAGACGGGGTTGTGTCTGTTCGCAGCTTTAGCTCAAATAAGCACCTGCCTTGGGGACTTTGTTTTTTGCCCCCTGACAGGGCTTGGGCGTACAAGTGAGACGGACCCACGAGTTTGGGGGTAGTCTCACGGGCCTTGACTTATGTCACCCCGCCCCCACACCACTGAACTTCAGTTTTCTCCGTTTGACTACGTTAGGGCCGTTGGAGAAATGAGCGAGCTGAAGACTGAACATACTTGGTAAATTGGATTTTAAAAAATAAACAGCAGCAGGGATAGGGCTAGGTGCGAAAGTGTCTTAGGTTGGACACCTTTCAGTCCAATGGCAGTCATAAGGAAGAGACCTTGGGCCGGATACGTTGGCTCACACTTGTAATCCCAGCACTTAGGCTGAGGCGCGTGGGTCACCCTAGGTCGGGAGTTCAAGACTAGCCTGGCCAACATGATGAAACCCCGTCTCTACTAAAATACAAAAAATTAGCTGGGCGTGGTGGCGGGCGCCTGTAATCCCAGCTACTTGGGAGGCTGAGGCAGGAGAATTGCTTGAACCCGAGAGGTGGGGGTTTCAGTGAGGAAGAGACCTTCGCCGAGGCCCGGCTGACACGAAGCAGGGACCCCTTTTAGGGCCTGTAGGCCCCTAACCATAGAAATAAATCAAAATCTTGAGTTTCTTCAAGAGAAACTCTAGGCACTTAGCTAGCCTTGAAAAGTTAATAAGCAGCTTGATAAGCAAGAAGGTGGTAGTAACTTAAAACAATAACCAAAGACGCTAAAATAACTGGATGTTTGGTTCCCTGTAAAAACTAAAGATAACATCAACACATGTCCCTGAGTTGTTTTTTAGAAACCTAGACCCCCACCAAATGGATCTGCTGGCGCATAGACCTCAGAGAAGGGGGAGCTGAGGACTGAACTATGACTGCTGGTTTTGTTGTTTTCTCGTTGTTGTTTCTCTAAGTTTCTAACTCCTGAAGAAGGTCATGCCCACAAGCCATAGCTAAAATTCTTTTTTTTTTTTTTTTTTGAGACAGAGTTTCGCTCTTGTTATCCAGGCTGGAGTGCAGTGGCGCGATCTCGGCTCACCGCAACCTCCACCTCCTGGGTTCTGGCAATTCTCCTGCCTCAGCCTCCTGAGTAACTGGGACTACAGGCACGCGCCACAATGCCCAGCTAATTTTTTGTATTTTTAGTAGAGACGGGATTTCACCGTGTTGACCAGGATAGTCTCGATTTCTTGACCTCGTGATCCACCCGCCTCGGCCTCCCAAAGTGCTGGGATTACAGGCCTGAGCCACCGCGCCGGCCCGCTAAAATTCTTTTCTCCTGATCCGAAATTTTTAGAACAAAGCTTCACCTCCTGAACCAGTCGCAAGTCAGAAAATCTTTGAATCCACCTATGACCTGTGAGCTCCTGCTTGGAGATGTCCTGCCTTTTTAGGTCAAACCAATTTATAACCTCTGTGTATTGATTTATGACTTTACTTGTAACTTCTGCTTTTCTGAAAATATCTCCATCTTTAGAAATCGTCTCCTGCAGCTGGGTGCGGTGGCTCACGCCTATAATCCTAACACTTTAGGAGGCTGAGGCAGGTGGATTGCCTGAGCTCCAGAGTTTGAGACCCCGTCTCTACTAAAAAATACAAAAAATGTGCTGAGCTTGTCAGTGTGTGCCTGTAGTCCCAGCTAATCGGGAGGTGAGGCAGGAGAATGGCTTGAACCCAGGAGGCAGAAGTTGCAATGAGCCGAGATCGCACCATTGCACTCCAGCCTGGGCAGCTGAGTGAGACTCTGTCTCCAAAGGAAAAAAAAAATCCTTTCCTGCAAGCCGTGGAAGTTCAGGTCTTAAAAGATGAGCTAACCCAATTCTCTCCTTTCTTGGTGCCCTGCCTTTCTACTGCAGCAAAACCTCTGTGTGGCTATCTGGTGTTACTGCCCTAGGCAAGTAGACCTTAGTTTGGTTCTGAAACACCACCAAGCACTGGAAGGTCTGTGCCGAGCCCTGTTGCGGGAGGTCCACTGACCATGAAACCAGTCAACTAGAAGCTACTGGCAGGTTTCCACTTGGTTGGTAGGATTGGAGAACATTTCATGAAGAAGGTAGCATTTGTACCAGACCTTGCAAAGTTAACATGATTTCAACAGGTGGACATTGAGAGGACAGAATAGTCCAGGCACAGCAAAGGTGCCACCGTTCCAGAAAGCATAGCACAGGCCTTGCTGTAAGTGGTTTCAGCCATTACTACTGACACTTTCTTGTAACTATGTTCTGCCTTTTTCTTTTTGCAGGGAGGAGAGGGATGGGATCAATGTATCCGAAAGGAGCTAAACCTGATGGTAAGAATTAGCCTCAAGGTTTGTACAAATAGAAAGATCTATAAACCAGAAATTCTTGGGGTTGTTGAGCTGTGTGACCCATGGACAGACTTCATATTGTTTGTTTGTTTGCTCCCAGGCACAGTGGCTTACACCTGTAATCCCAGCATTTTGGGAGGCCCAGGCGGGTAGATTACCTGAGGTCAGAAGTTTGAGACTAGCCTGGCCAACATGGTGAAATCCCATCTCTACTAAAAATACAAAACTTAGCCAGGCATGGTGGCAGGTGCCTGTAATCCCAGGAACTCAGGAGGCTGAGGTAGGAGAATCTCTTGAACCCAGGAGGCAGAGGTTGCAGTGAGCCAAGATTGTGCCACTGCACTCCAACCTTGGTGACAAAGAGTGAAACTCCATCTCCAAAAAGAAAAAAAGAAATTATATATACAATAGGATGTACTTTAGGGAGAGATTTTGGCAATCTTCCTCCTTTCTTCTCCTTCCCCAGTGAATAGGAGCTACTAATCTAATAGTGAAAATTCAAGATGTTAATTGGCCCATGTTCTTGGTAGGCAGGGTCACCAGTGGATTCTGTTCTGCCTCCTCCACACATGTAGCTTGATGGATTTGTTGAGCCAGAACCTGCTCTGCAGAGCCCCTTATTTCATTTCTCCTGTCTCCTTGATTTTTTCCATGTAGCGTGATAGAGGTTAGGATCCTGTGATTTGAATGAGCAAGGAATTGGTGGCTGTTTAAGGCCAGAAATCCAAACCTCAACCCCATTCTCAGCCTATAGAGTATCTTCCATGGGAAAGAGAGTATTGTCATAAACACCGAGTATACAGTGGTGACCAAAGCAGACTCAGTTTCTGTTTTCAGGAAACAGTCTGATAGAAAACAGTAAGCAACTAAGCAAATCATGTAGGAAAAAGCAAGTATACTGTGACAGAGAATAGTTAGGAAGCCAGCCATATGGTAAGTACCTTAAGCAACACAGGTTTGGACTGTGAGGTCTACTCATAATAATACATGGATTTTCTTCTGTTTCTGCCACCCCTGAGACAGCAAGACCAACCAGCCACTCCTTTTCCTCCTTGTCCTCAGCCTACTCAATGTGAACACAATGAGAAGCCCTTTATGATGATCCCCTTCCACCTAATGAATAGTAAATATATTTTCTCTTCCTTAGATTTTTTAAATTTTATTTTCTGTAGCTTTATTGTAGAAGTACAGTATATACTACATATAACTACAAAATATGTGTTAATCTACTTTATGTTATCAGTAAGACTTCCAATCAACCATAGACTATTAGTAATTAAGTTTTGGGAGAACCAAAGTTATATACGGATTTTTGACTGTGTAGGTGATTAGTAACCCTAACGTTCTCATTGTTCAAGGGTCAGTGATACTTTAAACAGGGTACAGTGGGGATTTGGGGCACTCTTGAAGCTTTTAATACTTTTATTCCTATTATATTATGATGCTGTTTCTTGTATATAGCTCTCTCAGTAGTGTTCAGGGAATGGGGGAAGAGGGAAGGTAGGGTAGGATGATTCTGGAACTATGACCCTTTTATCAGAATTTCACCAAATCCTAGGTAGGTTTCTTGGAAGTATGGCATATTTTCCTAAAGGACCTTGTTTTCCCTTGCATTTTCAAAAGAGCCTGTTTCTTAGTTTGGGTTTCCCCACCATCAGGCTCTGAGACCAGGAATTGGGTACGAATAGTTTGTTTAGGTGACTCTAAGAGGGCAAGGTGCGGTGGCTCACGCCTGTAATCCCAGCACTTTGGGAGGCCGAGGCGGGCAGATCACAGTCAGGAGTTCAAGACCAGCCTGGCCAACATGGTA